ATGGACCAAATTTTTGCAACTTGTCATGACAACGGATGTAATTTGAATTATAGCAAAATTTTCAGTTTTACTTTGCTTTGATTTTTATGTCAGAAACTTATAATACTTCAAAATATTATCTGCACCTTGTGTTGGTTATTGTTTATTGCAAAAAAGAACAAGAGGCCCTATGGGCCAAAATGCTCACCTGAGTAATTTTGGCCCTGCTGTTCTTCACCAGATTCTCCCCCTTGTAATACGTATTGTGGCCCCACCCTACCCTTGGGGGTCATAATTTAATCAATGTAGAATCTACACTATCCCAGGATGCTTCCATATAAGTTTCAGCTTTTGTGGCCCAATGGTTCTTGAGAACAAAATTTTTAAAGATTTTTTCCTGTATATTTCAATGTAAAACTTTGATTCCCCATTGTGGCCCCACTCTACCCCCGGGGTCATGATTCGAATAACTTAGAATCTACACTACCCAAGAATGCTTTCATATAAGTTTCAGCTTTTCTGGCCTAGTAGTTCTTGAGAAGAAGATTTTTAAAGATTTTTTTCTTTACATTTCAATGTAAAAATTTGATTCCCTACTGTGGCCCCATCCCACCCTGGGGGGGGGGGGGATGTTATAATTTGAACAATTTAGAATCTACACTACCCCAGGATGCTTCTGTACAAGTTTCAGCTTTTTTGGCCCAGTGGTTCTTGATAAGGATATTATAATGACACCACCCTATTTTTGTTTTTTCTTTATTATCTCCCCTTTTAAGGTGGCTTGGCCCTTCATGTAACAATTTAAACTTCCCTTCACCCAAGGATGCTTTGTACCAACTTTGGTTAAAATTGGCCCAGTGGTTCTTGAGAAGAAGTTGAAAATGTGAAAAGATGGACAGATGGATGGACAGCTAGACAGACAATGGACAACAGGTGATCAAAAAAGGTCACTTGAGCTTTCAGCTCAGGTGAGCTAAAAATATTTTCCCTTCAAAGAAAAATCAAGCAAATCAAAGTATGTTTTAAGCAGGGTGATATATTGCCAAGGCAAACTACTCTAATATAACCTGAGATTATTAAATGCAGCAACAAAAATAATGTCCATTTTGTTCCCCATAGCAATCTGAGAGATTGTAACTAAATAACTCACTTGAAAATGAAACTAGAAGTACTGTGAGCACAAACCTCTCAAAATGAATACTAGTGTGCCAATTTATGAGTGTATTTTTACAAATAGGTACATACCTCTAATTATTTTTAGAATCAGTAGGAGAAGAAAGTAATGCAGAAAAAATTACAAGTTCCTTAATTTGTAGACCTGAATTAAAAATACTGTGATAAGGTATTAAACTGAGCCTCATACTTGTTGATAAGGAGTATGTTCCCTTGCAAAAAAGCTTGGCAGATGTAATTTATCAAGAAGATCAGCAGAATTATTTTATGTATTATAACACCAGTGAGAAGTCTTGAAATCCCCTACTTTCACTTTCATTTTCAGAGGTTAACACAGACAGACACATTTTGCCGGGAAACGAATCCGACATGCCACCTCGAGATTTTAACCAAGGAAAGACAACTTGATGTGCTTTGATTTGAGGGGTCACTCGATGCTGAACGAAAATTAGGGACATTGCTATGTGAAGAAACATTAACATTGCCGCCTATGGGAAAACAATTAGTGGGCTGTACCCAAAAATGATTCTACATGTACATATATGTCATGTGATTGTACTTATTACATGTTTATATTTGATGCTAATTTTATATGCCTATATATGATTGTAAATATGTGTTGATGCAGGACCACAATGAAAACTAGCTTTATGCTAATTGTGTAATCCTGGATAAATAAAAGTAATTATTTTTTATTATTATTATTATTACTGTTCGCTATCTCAGTATTTCATCCCCCCCCCCCCTTCCAATGAGTATAATGGCAAAATGCATTTTTATACCCCCGCTCCGAAGGAGAGGGGGGTATACTGTTTTACCCTTGTGTGTCTGTCTGTCTGTCTGTCTGTGTGTCTGTTTGTCTGTAACAAATTTTGGTCGCAGTTTTCTCAGCAACTACTCATTGCAGATGCTTGAAATTTTAGCACAATCTTTGTTTAGGCATGCCATATGGTGGGATTCATTTTTGTACGAATTCGATGTCAACTTCCTGTTTATCCGTGCGCCTGTCCATGCCATACATAACAAATTTTGGTCGCAGTTTTCTCAGCAACTACTCAACGCAGATGCTTGAAATTTTAGCACAATCTTTGTTTAGGCATGCCATATGGTGGGATTCATTTTTGTACGAATTCGATATCAACTTCCTGCTTATCAGTGCGTCTGTCCGTACCATACATAACAAATTTTGGTCGTAGTTTTCTCAGCAACTACTCATCGCAGATGCTTGAAATTTTAGCACAATCTTTGTTTAGGCATGCCATATGGTGGGATTCATTTTTGTACGAATCTGATGTCAACTTCCTGTTTATCCGTGCGTCTGTCCATACCATACATAACAAATTTTGGTCGTAGTTTTTTCAGCAACTACTCATCCCAGGTGCTTGAAATTTTAACACACTCTTTGTTTAGGCATGCCATACGTTGGGATTCAACATTTTTCTACAAATCCGATGTCAACTTCCTGTTTATTCGTGTGTCTGTCCGTACCATACATAACAAATTTTGGTCGTAGTTTTCTCAGCAAATACTCATGGCAGATGCTTGAAATTTTAGCACAATATTTGTTTAGGCATGCCATATAATGGGATTCATTTTTTACAAATCCGATGTCAATTTCTTGATTATCACTGTGTTTGTCCGTAACTGAACTTGATCGAGTATTAACATCAGAGCGGGGGTATTATTAGTGAGCATTGGCTCACAGACTTCTTGTTTGTTATGGGAAATCCCAAATATTCAGCGGTGTAGAAGGAGTATGTGACAGTACAAATTGTCCTTTTGCACATATTGTTGTCAGCGACAATACGTACCTACCTTCAACTGCACATATTGTCGTCCATTGTTAATATTGGTACATATTGTCACCGGCAACAATATGTACGGAGACAAGCCATTTTTTCTTCCTGTGTAATGGATGACAAAATGTACAGTCAGGCATTGCCACAGTCTGTCGTTGGCGACAATATGTACCATGAACATTTGTACATTTTGTCATCCATATACATGAATTGTGTTGAAGAATATTTACTAAGGTCATGAAGAGAGAGAGAGAGAGAGATTGATACACACAGAAAAACACAGACAGGCAGAAGGATAGACAAAGTGTCTGGCAGAAAAATAAGTGAACATTTCTGATCACAGCCCTCCACCAGCAAGTGTTGGCTTCTCAATATGAGTGAAAAATTTTTGAGAGGGATGTAAAAACAACAAACAAACAAAAACAAAATCAATTTTGTTCAAATCATGACCCCTAGGGGTAGGATGAGGCCACAATGGGTGGTCAAAGTTTTACATAGGAATATATACAGAAAATCTTTAAAGATCTTCTCAAAAACCAAAGGTGGATCTAGCACTGGCGCAAAACCCCAACCTTTTTCTTTCTTTTCTTTTGGCTTTTTTAAATTCTGTTTGTTTACCTTGTATATACTGTCAATTTAGTCCACAGGTAAAATTTCATAATTAAATAATTTACTTAACATATACAGTAACACACCTTCACTCACAATTGACCTTTTTTGCTTGTCAAAAAAATAAAATATCTGAACTGCAACCCCCACCCCAGTTCTGAAATTTCTGGATCCACCACTGAGAACAGCAGTAGGCTAGTGATTAAATGATTACTAATGTTTATATGAAATATCCTCAGGAAGTGTAAATTCAAGTATCTTCAAATCATGACCCCAGGCCTAAAATGGAGTCGCTATGGGTGATCATAGTTTTACATAGCAATATATAGGAAAATTCTTTAAAAAATTCTTCTCATAAACAGTGATTTCTCATAAAAATGATACTGTATGGAAGCATTGTCATGCGAAATTTATTGATGGACGACAATATGTACTTGACGACAAATGTACCGTCACAAACATGCTGCATAAAACAGCATACGAGACAAAACTGTGTGATTTACGCACCAATAACATTCACAAAACTACCAAAAGACAACAACAAAATCTTTAAGCAACAATATCTGTGCAACAAAATGTGCAGAGACGGTAAGGCACATAATGTCACCAGCAACAATATGTACATGTGCAAGTTTTCAGCCAGTGACAATATGTACCGATGGATGACAGTTTGTGCAGTGAGGGTAGGTACATATTGTTGCTGACGACAATATGTACAAAACGACAAAATGCACCACCACAGGAGTAGCAGAGAAGTGAGGAAGACCCTCAATATTATAGAAAGAATGGCATTGTGAGAAACCCCAAATATCTGTCCTATGAAATTGTAAAATAGAAGGTGCACAATGGCATTATGTAATAATGATTCTGTGAGAGTCTCATTAAATTCTATTTAGTGATATAGGAGGAGTTGCAGACATTTGGGCAGACACCCCATCACTATATCACTATACTGCTTTTCAAGCTGGGGGGATGAATAAAACTAATTATTAGTTTTCTAAAGTTATCACACAGGATGATCATCATCATAATCTCACCTACGTGGGCATGACAATGAACCAATCTTAGTGCTTAACTTCAAAGGTCTTTGACAACAGTGCAGTACTGTAAAGGAACTCAATAAGTTCCTGTTCATGTCTTTCAGTCATTACATCATTCTTTCTTACCTAGTAGAACAATAATTTCTTTCACAGACACTGATTTTTCTGAACCCCTTTCCCATTTTAAAAACAAGCAAATGTATATTTTTAAAAAAGTTTGCTTTAAATTTATATTTTATTGATAATCACAAATAGCATTAAGGAAGCAGAAGCTAATGAAAGCATGACTTCCTACCTTACAATATTGATAAATCTTTATCATAACAAACCTTTCAACCTTACAGAGATTCCTTTTAGCTCAATCATATAAATTACATTTGCCCATTTCTAACACTTGTACCTCATATTGTAACTTGTTGTTCCAAGCTCAGAACCAAGGCCTGAGAGAGATCCATCAAAGTCTGCAGCCAAGGAATCATTGATGTCCCAGCTGGTTATGGTGGGAACATGATGAGACATTTTCGAACGTTTGTTTCCTTGGGTGACCACATCATTCAAAGACCATCCAAATGACATTGGTATCTAAATGATGAAATATAATTCACAAGTCAGGAAAGAGAACGAGTGCACTAATGGGCCCTGTTAAAATGGTAAAAAAAAGAATAATCAAATTTAGCATAATTTTTCATCTCAGATCATTAATTGATATCTAAACCATGAGAATCAACAAAGAGCTAATGCATAAAATGGCCCTGTAGTTATACCAATTTATTGACTAACACCTATGTTCCATTTTAAACATCAAGATAAAGTAGAGACTTAGTGCTTTCATTTCCTATTAAAATTTTCTCCTTAAAGTCCAGGTCTTGGAAAACAAGCTTTATGGAATTGCATAGTTCTTGAAATTTAAGGAAAACAGGTATATTTAAGTACTTTCAGAGAAGAAAAATAATATGAGTGCACCCTGTGATCTAAAAAATAAAACAGGTTTTGTAATCCTCAGAACCAGTTCTATCAGTAAATAATTGCATATTTTAGATCAGAGATTGCGCTCTATATTAAATATCGAAAAATAGTTTTAAAAATTGGCTGTTTTTGTAGAATTGTTCAGGATATGAGGAAAATGACACATTTCATGATGTCATAATGCATTGACTAGCCAGAAAATTATGTCATTTTTGGTAGATTCGCAATTGCCAAATGTCTAAATGAAATTTAATGCATTGAAAACTAAAACTTAGCAGTTTCAGTTTTTCAGAAATTTTGAAAGGGCCAAAAAAAGGCTCTAAGTGAACCTTGTTCTTTATTGCTGAAACTCATGAATATACAAAGAGCAAAGCCATACAATGTGGTACTGGGGTCAGCCGACATTCGTGTTTTCTAAAGTAAATTGAGGACGGTCATCCATTTCAATGCTTTTGTTTACTGTCAGCCTAACGTTGTACAAACTTGTGCGAATGACAGAAGATGCATTATACATTTATAAAACTTGTGTGACAGTAGGAAATTTGTACAAGATTAGGCTGGTACTTAAAATATTAAAAATGTATGAAAAGTTCAATGTTTTTCTATAGCAAAGTAAAAGCTATTTACCTGTATGACCTTTGTTGAACCCACCTGTGGAATAAATTATTTGAAATAGTCATGTGAGTTCTACCCAGGTAAACATTCCTCAAAGGTACTCACTGTAAAAATAGCCATCAGTGATTTTTCTACACCCATTTTAGGTCCGAATATCGGCACTTTCCCCTATCAAAAATTACCGATTTTTTCCCAATCTCAGTTGCTTTTTTCCCAAAATAAAACCATTGTTTTTTTTTTTTGTTATATTGAATTTTTTATAATTTACAACTTATCTAAAATGGAACGCTATTGTTTTCGGTCATTCAGACTCTTAAAACAATAGTGAGGAAGAGAAGATTATTTTGTGCGTTTACAAGACAATTAGAAAAACACAAGAATCATGTCAAACATCAAACTTGTGTGTAAATACATCATAAGAAAGTGTAAGATGCATGTGAACCAGTGAAACATAGGTTTATTTGTAAATCCAAGTACTAGTTGTTCTACAACAAGCATCCCTGATTCTATGGATCTACACCTGGCAGATGCAACTAATATTGCAGGGTAATTGCAGCAATATGATCAGGGGATCAGGGCAATATTTAGAAAGCTTTAATAATGAGTTATAAAAAAAAAATGATTTGTTATAAATCATGTCAGATTATTCCATCATGATCTTCAATGGCTATTATGAGTAGGATTTTCTCTTATGTTTATCTTTATGGCAAAAAAAAAAAACAAAGATGGAAATATAGGATGGTCAACATGACAACTTTCAAAGATTAAAAAAAAAGTTAAAAATGAACAACTGTGTCTAATTTGTCATTTTGAAGTAAATATTTTGAATAAATGATGTTACATTTACTTATATATTTTATTTTACTTAATTTCAATCTTATTGATTTTTCCCAATTTGACACAAATGTTGATGATTTTTCCCAAGTGTAAAGGCCCAGGCCCCTTTTAAAAAAGGTAGAAATATCACTGGCCATGTTTTATATCATTCGCCAAAGTCGTGTTGCTTAGAGATTTCTGTATGTATTTGGTTTTAGGAACAACGGGAGGGTAAAGAGAATTTAGTGTCATTTAAGATGTCATCATACATAAAAGTGTCCAATATTTTTAGCATTCATGAAAGACAATAGTGCCGGTATATATTGAAATCCATAATATTAATAAACAAGTACAAAACATTACATGCATGTATGTATATTTTATATCAGGATAACCCATTAAAGCTTCAGAGCTTGTTTCCAATTGGGTTCTTAAAAATGCAGATGGAAGGAAAAAAATTAATCAACAATTAAAGTTAATTATTACAAGGCTAAATGAAAATGAAGTGCAAAATCTTTAACTCAATGTTACTTATATATTCAGCTTTCAAATAACATTGATAACAAAAAAAATCTAATAATGATTTTAAACTACAGTACAGCAAGACACTTCACACCTAAATGCCCTTTGCAATTAATAATTATAAGAAACTAATGTTAATATTTACTCTATTATTTCAAAGGCAAGCGTGTAAAATTCTTAGTTTGATCAATGTGGGTATAGGTTGCACAACAGTATTAAATTTTGCTATATATTCTTACCAAAAATGCGCAACTTTGAGTAGGTGGTATTAATTGAAAACAAACTTTTGAGAAGTTTCCTTTTCAGATCTTGTAAAACAATTCTTTATTAAGATTTTAGTACCAAAAAATACGTAGCCATCCAGCAAGGCACGCAAGTTTGTTTCGGTCGAAGTCGAGCAGGTGCTTGAAAATCAAGTCCAGGACCTAATCACTCCACACTCAAATACAGTACATAGAAAAATCAGCACGCCCTAAATTATAATGAATCTAGTCAATACAGGAAGTTTACATATTGTTTTTCATCTCAGAAAAAAATTCAGCTCCAGTCTCGTGTTCAAATGCCCGAATCGGAAGGGAAGATTCAGGAATTATTTTGCGTCAGCCATGATTTGACGTGAACCTCAAGTGAAATACTGTTAGGACACCTATAGGCACTATACAGCTTCATTCGATTTTTTTTCCATAGATAAAATAACACAAGATATATCATTCGGCAAACGCGCCCGTCCATGATCCACCACCAGGTTTACCTAGTTTGTGTCGATTTAAATGTCTCCTCCCCCTTATTTAAATAGACGAAACTCAAATAGGTACAGTACGACTTTTCTGGATTTCAGTTATCTTAAAAATCTCCAATTGTTTAAAATCCAGGCTGATTTCGGTGCTGTTTAACGTGATTTTAAATTAGAAATATCCACCAGTTTTAAACTAGTACGAAAAGACAATGATTTGGTAATATATTCTAAAACAGCACTGAACTAGAACTGTCCAAAAGGGACAAATCCCCCCCCCCCCTGGGTTTTTCAGAGAAGGTACCAAATCAATGTTTTCTAGATGTGAGAGGTGTTCACAATTTGCTTAAACATTTCAGAGTGAAAATTTAATTACAAAGGTGCAGCCTAATATTACATTGAAAAAATAGTTTGCAACTATCTGTCATCTTTGTGAGACATGACACTCTGCAAACTGATTGTTGAAAAAAAAAATATCATAATTAATTATACAAAATCAAATTGATCTTAATACCTTTATATCAAACTCGTTTTAAAAATAAAAGGCTAGTTCCTGAAACTATGTATTTTGACAGACATAAATTACAATTAAGAGACTTAGACAACAGAGGTCTTTATTTCTTTCTGCCCAATTCTCAGGAGATATAGATAAGACCTGCTTGATCAGAGATGCCCTAACAGCTTCCCATACTGAACCCATTAATTATAATCTTTAACTGGATGCATGTCCACTCATTACTCCCAAGGGACAAATGGATTTACACTATCTGCTGTGTAATGTAAAAACTGTTTTAAATACTTTGTGATTTTTTTTTTTTTGGTTTCTAATGAGTAGTTTTAAGCTGTAGTTCACATTTTTGTACAGATGTTCTAGATTCTATGTCTCAAACCTTAGACATGAACCCGAAATGACTAAGTCAATAAAAACTAGAAAATCTGCTATTGCAAGCAATAGTGTATGTCACCCCGAACTGAACCATAAGCTGCAAGATTGTTCCAATGCTTATAAAAGTATTCGTAGAGATACAGAACCTTCACCAATGTTTTCGACTACTTGAGAAGACTTTTCAATCTTTTCATTGCGAAACGATTTGTCGAGCCCTTTAATAAATTACTGCCCCTGAGAGTTTTTGATGTTTACGAATAATGACGAAATTCTCTAAACGATAAGTCATAAAGACATGGGACCAACTGCACTAGATTTTGTGACCTCTGACCTTGAAATTTTTGTGAAGGTCAAAGGTCAAGGTCATTCAAAATATAAGAAAATTAGCTCTTTTTATAGCTCTTTTGTCTTTCAACATATACTATATATCTTTGCATCTTTAATATGTCCTCTTAAAATGAGTTCAAAGATTTCATTCTTGTCCCCCAAGATTGACCCCTTTAGAAGTTATTGCCCCTCGGTGCGAAAAACCTTGTTATCGCTACTCCGACGAAAAGAATAACAATGTTTCAAAAATTTTACACAAAGACTTTTCAGACATAGCCCCCCCCCTTATAAATTATTATATAGTTATTATTACAGATTACAGAAAATTGTTTCAGATCAGGAGAACTCAAACTTGCTTTTACAACATGCATACTAGTATTTATAGGATGAAAAACTTGCAGGAAATGGAAAAACATGTTGGCAAAACTGTATATGAAGAATGATTGATGATGTTATTGGTTCAAATGCTAATACAGTATCTATAAATGATTTTGAAGATAATTTGAAATGTATTTTGATAATATAGTTTTCAGAGACAATAAAAATATAAAAAAAAAATTAAGGGTAATGGAAATTGTCATTCTACAGCCAATTAATAAGTTCACAAAATCTAAACAAGCTTGAAATTCAACCATACTTAAATTTTTCCATTTCCAAGAATCTTCGTTCTTTTTTTACTCAATTAAGAATAAGTGCCCAAAAATTACAGATAGTGGTTGGCGGATATTGTAATCCAATTATTCCAAGGGATGACAGATATTGTATTAACTGTCACAATGTTGTTGAAGGTAAACATCATTTTTTATTTGCATGTCTCTTTATAAACAAATGCGAAGTGAATATTGTACACTTTTAAATAGCGAGCGCACGCTGCTTGTCACTGCAAGCTCTAACGACAACACCTGGGCGATGAGAAAATTCGGACTACTGCACATTCATTCAATAGAATTTTTTTCCGCAGTAATTCTGGACCCACAATACATCGCTTGTTGTTCTCGCTGCTAACTTCGTTCACGCAGTAACAACAACTAAAAATTCACAAAAAATAAACTCATATAAAAACAAAATGGATATTGCATACAGATAGATTAAACATTCTTTGTTAAAATTTTTGTACTTTTCAAACTTTGTTTATGGAAATGCAGCTAACATATGATGTCATGTGACGTCACAGTCTATAGACGTTCCAAATCTCTCACGCATTTTAAAGAGGTGGATCTTAAAATTAAGTGAACTGTAGTATGGAAAGGAGGAATGAGTTAATATACATTGAAAATTCATAAATATATATATAATGAAAAACATATGGCTGAACCCGGGACCCCTGCATTACTAGTCAGGTTCTCTAACCACTGAGCTATACAGGCCGATGTCCTCAGTCCAGCCACAGGGGCTTGCTCCCGGCGTGTAATAATTATTTATTTTAAAAAATCATATACGGTAATACTAAAACAACACAAGGGAGGACGCCATTTTGGACCCCTTCCTCGCTTCAACCTCTGTTTTCGTTATATTTTCCCCTATTTTACTGACTCACCGCCTCAGATCTGTCAAGTAATGATTCTTCTAAGACATAATGCTTAAATTTTCCCCTTGGAGCCTCTACAATACACATTTCAGACTAATAATAATCCAAACTCGCTCTTTAGGACAGTTGATAGGGACAGAAAACGAAAGTAACCTCGGCGTTTTACATTCGAATACGGAATTAGAACGCGGTTTTTTTCAAATTTATAATTAGCAGCTGTGTTAACTAGTAGAAAAAACCCGAGATTTTCGAATGTGTTTTCGTTTTCTGTCCCTATCAACTATCCTAAAGAGCGAGTTTGGATTATTATTAGTCTGAAATGTGTATTGTAGAGGCTCCAAGGGGAAAATTTAAGCATTATGTCCTAGAAGAATCATTACTTGACAGATCCGAGGCAGTGAGTCAGTAAAATACAGGAAAATATAATGAAAACAAAGGTTTAAGCGAGGAAGGGGTCCAAAATGGCGTCCTCCCTTGTGTTGTTTTAGTATTACCGTATATGATTTTTTTTGATAAATAATTATTACACACCGGGAGCAAGTCCCTATGGTCCAGCCTTAATTCCTACAGAACAATACGCTTGCCCTAAAGGTCACACCGTCAACATATTAATGCTTGTATAGGTTAAATCAACAAGAAATATTTTTAACTTCATATGTGATGCATTTAACAGTAGAAAATCTATATATTTGTACATGTATACTGTATGTATGACTTGCACCACATGCAGTTTTTTTGTCAATAAGTAAAATGAAATAAAAAGAAAAATCTTCATTTTTGCACAGTAAATATATCTACATTTGGGATATTATTTCCCAAAAGGCCTATTATATCTCATTTGAACATATTAGTCCGAACATGATTGTGCAACTGTACAATAGATAGTTTTCATATGACATATTTTCTCTTCGAGTTATTTCCCTTGGCCGCCATTTTGGTGGTCAACCTGGTAATTTTTCCTCTTTGTCTTACCAAATTTAAGAGGGTGTAGCAGAAATATTTGGAGGAAAATCTTTATGGAATAAAAATTATGAAAAAAAGGAGGCTTTACCAAATGTATATTTTTTAGAAAAACAATGCTGCCTACCCCACAATGGCCAGTATATAAAGTTAAAGTTGGTTGAATAATGAAGGAATATGAGCATGTTGACCTCCAATATGGCGGTCAAAGGGAAATAACTCTTGATAATTTGGGCCTACTGAAAACTATCTATACATCAGTCCCTCCATTCAGCAGTCTATATATCATACAGATAATAATACATATAATAAACTGATGACAATGCATTCGTTGTAGTAAAAGCAGTAAAAAGTCTTTTAAGTGATAATGTATGCTTACACTGACCTTTTAAATACCAAATAGACAACAGTTTATATTATTTACAGAGGGGAAAAAAGTCCTTCGAGTCAATGCTGCGGTTTCTGGTCAACTTGTAACCTGACCGACTCGTAATCAAGTCAACTCTAACCCAATACCGAATACGTCAACTCGTAAGCAAACGGTAAAAGTCAACAAGTAACCAAGACTCTTGAACATTACAAGTTGACTCCTTCATAGAATGTAATGATAACTTGTAAGTAAATGATACTTTTCAGTTAGGCTATAATATGCACACTAAGATTTGGAAATATTTTGAAAAAAAAAAATTGATTAGTCAATTCATACACAAACCGATTCGTACACGAACCACGGACGGTATTTTTTTAGTACGTTAACGTAGGTCGTGGGTTTGCAGGTCATTTAAAAGTGTCCGAAAACATACCATGAAAATTAGTTATATGAATCCTATACCTTCGTTTTACATTCTCTGAAAATTTTATAAAATTCGTCTGCACCGTTTTTGTGTAATTAAATCTCAAACATGCCATTGTTGTCGTAACATTTTTGACGGTATTCTATTGAATTATATAAGAAAAACGTCGTTTTCGGCTCTTTTGAGGCAAGATTTTGTTTAAAAACTTTTCAATAACTTTTAAATGGTGCAGACGAAATTGTTTCCCCATTGGTATTTTAACAAAGAATTGATTTGAAATAAATTAATGTGATAAAATTAATATGTCTTCAGGTTAGTTTTCGCGTTATTTAATGTGGATAATTGCTTTATAAATAGAGGATATTCAATGTTTTGTAGATGAATATGGAATTAATTTCACGAGTGGGACAGGATTTTTTGTGTGTCAGATTAAAAACATTACATAGCATAGATTTTAGCAACATATTTAGGAAGAAATTTGCAGTTTTAGCTATCAAGATGCTTAGTTACTATATCTCTATCTTATGACAGGCCAGAAATTATTTTTTACTTTGATATCCTTTCACACTGTGAGAGAATATCATTTTTGGTATCCTTTCACACTGTGAGAGAATATCACTTTTATTCAATAAATAAATCACAGTATTTCACTGTTGAAAATGTAATATTTATATCGCAAAATGTAACATTTTTAAGAACGACGTCATAAAATATCGTGACGTCATGCTTGACGTCTTGAATATCTATCCGGTATTCAGTGCAGAAAAATAACACTCTCTACCATCGGCTCATACATTCACCTCTGTCGTTGGCTCGCGTATATCACAGTGATAAGCACGAGAAATAGTGCGTTTCTTTTAATTCATTATAATTAAATGTCTGGGGTAATGATAGTCCTTAAAGATAGATATTTACTAAATAGATATAAAACTATAAGTTTAATTTGAAATAATCCTTGAAATGTTATGTTTTTAACGTTATGTCAAAAATCTTGACGTGACCATTGCAGAGGTGTCTGAGAGAAGAACGAACGACAACTCTGCATAGGAGATTGGAAAAATAAGACAAAATAATTTTTATAAAAAAGAAATTCACGTCTATCTGCTTTCAAGTGACCCGTGAATCGTATCATAATAATTCAATATCAATGGAATGATTATTAGACATGTTTCTCTTTAGATTAGGTTTTTTGTACGTCTTATATATTATTGAATTCTCGCAAGGGACGTAAAACAACAGTAGATTAAACTTATCCTTACATTTGGCTGTGTATTTTTCTTTTCCAGCGTGCTGGCAGAAAACGGTATCCTCTAATCTAAGTAATTCAAGTATGTAAAATGCTTTTATTTAGACCAGTAAGGCCTTCAAATCTACGAATTTCTGCCAAATATCGTCCCGGCTAAGTACAGTTACTGTATATTTTCAGTATAAATTTAAATAAAATATTTATTTTACATACCACATTTTCAGAGGGGTAAATGGGACAAGAATTTAAATTAATTTTATCTGACGTAATCAACAGCCAGTTTTTTTTTAGAACTTTAATTCTACTAGTTTGACATGGAAACCAGAGTGAATAAAATCTGTAGGTAAGAGCATTACAAGCTGTCCCTTAGGGGACGAACATTTCATTCGGGGATGGTATGGGGTGGGGGTGGGGCTTGCAGATTTTGGAAATAAATAATCTGTCATCGAAAATGTTGAAAATAAATAATCTGTACCCCCCCCCCCCCCGAATGGGAGTTTTCAACTTTGATGTTTTTCTTTCTTCTTTTTTTTTCTTTTTGCTTGTCAGACTTTTTTCAGTGAAGAAGAAATAAATAACCTGTCCTTGTTTTTTTTCTTTTTGGAAATAAATAATCTGTCCTTCATCGACATGAAAATAAACAATCTGACTCGGTAAAATTTACCACCCCTCTTTCCCTCAGAAATAAATAGTTGTCCCCTAACAGGAGGTCAGTGTCGCTAAAAAATTGTCTATATGTTTCATCGTGACTCAGCAGTATTTAATTTGTAATAAATTTGTAGATCTATATAATTTAAAAATGTCCTTTTTAAAAATAAAGTTTAATCTTTGGATGTAACACATGTATTTGCATTTTTTTAAAATAATGGCTTCTTTATTAATAAAAAAAAAAACCCTGTTACATGTAATTCAAATACGATCAAAAGATGAAAAAGGTCAGTTGAACCTTGTGTCCATATCGTTTCGCGATACCAAGTGAAAACAAATCAATCGCAATTTCTCGGGCCTTTCCGACAAGCCAAAAAAAAAAAACCAGTTAATTTTCCAGGCTTGCAGGAAAGGCCCGAGAAGATGCGATTGATAACAAATAATTAAACGTTTTATAATACTTCCAGTGTCGATCATTCGAATCGTAATAAGCCTTCTTCACTAAATTACCAATTCCAACAAAAGTTATATCTAAGTATTGTATCGATACAAATCGTTAAAAGCCTTCATTATTTGTGATAAGTCGATGCTTAAATAATATAACACTAAACTACCAATTCCAAGAAAAGTTATAGCTATATTATGATATACTGAAGAATTTAATAAAACAAAAATCATCGCAGATTTCTTTTCCATTGTGACGTCATAATCAAATGTGCACAAGAAAGTCGCCTAAATCATATAAATTGCGTACCCAGTGTTAACGACGTCAGCAAACCTGCGACCTACTGTAAAATTTTAATAAAATTTATAAAAAGTCAGACACCAATGTAATATTTACATGTAAGTATGGGTTCTACATATTGTGCACCCTTTTTGTTTAAAAATGACTTTAAAAGTAGGGATATCCAAAAAATGAAGTAAATTTTTAAAAAAAGGGGGGAGGGGGGTCAACAGGGCCTATTCAGTTTGTACAGAGAATTTTGAAAACAAAAATATTCATGGTTAAAGCTATATATGGCGTATCTGAGCTAAAAAATAAAAATACGAGATTAAGTGTAGATCAACATGAAATTTGTTATTTACCATTGCTTACGTTCAAATTAAAATTTTCACCGATTTTGAACTTGAATATCCCCACGTTTCTGTATGGCACGCCGATTGCTTCAAAATTATTTTCTGCACGACCTTAAACAAAAATTACACGAGTAAGTAAAAACTTACACAAAGTGAGGAAAATATACACGAAGTTATTGAAATTTACACAAACTATAGAAAAACTGCACAAGCAACAAAATATTTACACGATATAGTGAGAAAATTACACAAACGTAAAAACGAAAACTGCACGAGTGAGAATACAACATCGACATAATTTGCAACGCATCCTCATTGCGCACATTTCATTAATATTCATTAGAGAACGGTCAATGTGGCTTGGATGCTTGAAACATACTATAAATTCGAGTAACGTGTTAGTAATCTTTTTAAAAAAGATTCTTTTAAAATTCCGCTAGACTCTCAAGAATATGTACAACGTATATTATACATGTAGATAAATTGACAGGCACACAATCTTAAACTTGTAGTATATGAACACTCCCGAATAAAAAACATTCTACAAAGAATACATGTATAGATAACGTAAAAAAGGGGGTGCACTTTACAGTTGTGTGTTTAATTGTTGGATTTTTTTTAGTAGGTCATTCCTCTATATAGCAATTTCTTTTGAAAGTTTAAAACAATGACATATAGGCCTAAATTAAAATATATAAAAACAACGTGTGATATAATACAGGAGAGTTAACAACAAATCAATCTCTTCTCCTCCACCACCCACTGAGTGTACTTTTGGTAATAATCAAGGATGTGCATGCGTGACCTTTTCATACAGAGATCCCTCCCTGCTGGTCCTGGAACGAAAGACACCTGTACGCTAATCGATTTATAGCTATTTCACACACCAACAATACCTTTTGATTAAAGATTACTGGCAATTCATACAAAGATTTTGAAGCAATGTTGCGATCATCTGGGTTGTGGAATTTGATCGAAAACTTTTTGGAAGTCAACAGTAAAGAAAATGGAGCAAATAATTGCGCAACTGAAATTTTAATATTGAAACGCATATCTCACTTTTTGATATATGTATGTAACAAAGTAGTACATGTAGTTTTAACTTTTGAGCAACGTGTGGTGATTTCATAAAACTCCATGAAACTGTAGAAAAATTATACAGTCGTTTTACTTATGTGAATTAGAGATTAATTTTATGTTGTTTTTAATGTACCGGCGGTAGTCTATTTTGAATAGTTAAAATGCATATAAAGGAGTGAAGAAAATTTAAAATTATAAAATACAGGCACGTAGTATCGTTTTTGAAAGGGGGGCAGCCAGATTTTTTTGACAACCTACCTGGAAAAAAACTTGACAAGCAAAAAAAAAAAAAAAAAGGTAAAGTGTCCAAACTCGAAAATCCTATTTCGGGGGGGGGGGGGGGGGGGGTTCCACCTTCCGCTCCACTTTGTTTTCGAAACACATTATATTACCAAATTACTTTGATTTAAACTATCCTACAACAAGGGGGGGGGGCAGCTTTTCAGTGGACATTTACAATAGAAGTAGGTTATGTTTGGAAAAAAAAGGGGGGGGGGGAGGGAGGCCCCAACTGATGCTACGTGCCTGAAATATTTTCTAAGAATTTAAGGGTACATATAATAGTCTATCGAAATCAGGATTGCAATTTAACTGATTTGTAACGATATTGTAAGACC